ATTAATACAGTTATAGGATATTGAATTCAGTATAAGCCCTGTAAAAAGATAAAATTGAATGAGGTTTTAACCTTTAAAAAAGATCTCCATTCTTTATTAAAATACATTGTTTTATATAGAAAAACTCATTTTTAATGCAACTAACAGATATTTGCGCATGTGTCTTTAATCTCTATGTATCTGATTATTACTAGTCACAGTTGGTTACACTCGGAGACTTAGTCCCTGAGTATGGATATAAAGTCATCAGGTAGATTTCACTGGTAATGTTTATCAGCTCTATTTAACATGAAGTAAATTTTTATGCTTCCTCCTCAAATATCTTTTTTTAATGTATTGATTTTTTTGTGTGTATATCACACAGAACATCCCAGCTCCAAATTTTTAGATGTGAGTATATATCCTGATGTAACAATAGGATCCAGTAAAATGGAAAGGAACCATGCAGGGAGAGGAAAAGAAGGAACTCAAGAGAGGGACACTGCAGGAGACAGGTGTTAACAAGTTGGAAATGGTTAAAATTAAAGTATTTTAACTGGAGGGGAAGGAGAGAGGTCTATTCAAGGGGAGAGAGAGGAAAGGAAAAAAAATAATGCTTAGGAGGTCTGAACAGCCAAATGGAAATGTATCATTTAATAAACTTATTGAAAAATATAATATACTATAAATGTGAGTTTCTGATGTATAGCAAAAATCACAGTGCCAAGCAAGGGAAGCCTCCTTTCAATTTATTGGTCATAGCAGTCCAAGAGACTAAATAATGCAAGCTGTTGCCACAACCCTTCATTGACTCCCAGACCTTGAAGGTAAAACCCTATTATTGAAGACACTACTTAAGTCAGACACAGGACATGGAGCAATTGAACTGGAACTGACCTGGAAGCCTCCTTCTTGAAGACTAGATCTCATAGTATCAGAAGATACTGTGAAATTTGCCAAGGGAGAAAACCAGTCAATGGTCCTGCCCAATTGCAAAGTCTATGAAACACAATAATGAACAGCCCAAAATGTTATCTCTATTGGCACTTTGTTTCTGGGTGGTAATCAACAGGTGTCTAACCAGAATTAAGGCCCTCACAATGGAAGGGAAATCATGCATGTCCTGTAAACCAAGTGTTAGGGTATCAATAAGCCCCATAAATTGAACTGGTCTAGACTATAAAAAATTGTCTAGTCTATTTGTTGGAGGACCTACTTTTCCAGTTTCACTGGTCAATTGCCTGGTGATAGAACCACTCCCAGGAAGGCAGGTTCACCTTAAGTTATGCTAAATAGATGGGGGGAATACCTGGTGTGTTAATAAGGTAGTGAATATTTCCTGTCTGGAACTAGCTTAGATCCCCACAGAACTTCCAGACTCAGGGAGAGTCATGTAGGTCTCAGTAAGTCTGTTCACTTTCCTGAACTCTGCAGGAAAGCATAATTTCTCCTTTTCTTCTTCATGCCTTTCTTATTAAACATGCTTTCTCTAAGGCTTTGGGCTGCCCCTAACATCTTGTTTCTTCACTTTTTCTCTAAAGCTTCCTTCTCCCAGCCATATGTCTGTGAGTTAGCCATGTGTCTGACCTCCATGCAGGCTCTAACCCTGCATGGCTTCATGATTTCTTTACTTCTTCCCACTGTTCACCTCCTCAAGGCAGCTGCAAAGATGATCAGTTCAACTGCCCTGAGGATTCTTCTTTAAGGTTCTAATAAAATTGTAAAAGCTTCCGTTTGGGTCCATTCTTAAATTCTTTCATGAATGAGACTAAGAAACCTCTAGTGGACCCTCTTCCTCCCTATTTCACAAGTACACATGATTGAAAAGGTCATAGATCCTAAAAGGAAAACCTACTTCTATAGCTTTCCTAGACCAACATAATTTCTTACTATATTATAAATACATATCTTCATATTTACAGACATGTGTGCCTCTTACCACTGTTCAAAGAAGCTTCTTTATGCGAAAGGTGGAGACTATTACAAAGTTTCACAATTGGTCAAATAAAGATTACAGGAAACTGTCAGATGCCTAGCTCTAAGTGCCACACCTACAGTGCAACCTCTACATTTAAGGTGCAGGGAACATCATGTTCAGAAGTGGTGATAAAAATGTAAAAGCCAGAGGGACAAGACACCTGCTGCTAGGTAACACATTGCAGACATGATAAGGAAGCTGACCAATGAAATCCCCACAGTACATTAGTCTAACAGAATCTAAAAAATGATAAAACCAATTTACATGGCAAGGTGAATGAGGGAAATTTCATGGGTTCCCACCACAAGATGAAGAGCTACAGGCAATTAATAGATGCTGAGGGAGGGAAAATAATTTTTTTCTTAGATTAGATAACCTTGATGTTATTTAATTGCAAATGGGCAGCCCTAAACACAGGTACACAGGAGCACCACTAAATGGATTCAATGTATTACACCTATCTATCTATCTATCTATCTATCTATCTATCTATCTATCTATCTATC